TGAGTTTAAACTGCTGACCTTAAGGTTCAAACAGATCTTGTGGTCTAGTGTTTGATCCCACAGCACCACACCAGTTCTCACTAGCCTTAAATTGATACATTCCATGGAGCAATTATACATAAAACTATTAAGGGAGTAGGTCATCTGGTGGAAGTCTATTCCTCACGCTCCTCTCCCCCAGAAAAAAAACACCCTTAGTGTCATTCCAGTTATCTGTAGAACACAGTTAAAAAACATAGACTTTCATTTCACTAACCTGGACATTGAGGAAAATGTCATTGGAAGGAGGGAGTCTACAGAGAAGTAATGGTTATACTTTGTTACATAAGGTCACAAAAAAAATAAAGCCATCCTCATTTGCTGTCACTGTGGTTTCATCAAAAGGAAGACATAGTTTCGAAACAAAAGGCAGTTCTTTCCAGGTGAAGACCATTGAGAACTTCAGTGGACATTTTGCTTCTGATTAATTAGTAGTAACCCAATTATTATTTCACTCCAGACTTTGGACCAGCACTTAGAAAGCATAGCTAAAACAACTCTGGTGTCTGCACAACTCTAAATTGTGCCCATTCCAAGCTGAGTTTCTTCCTACTTGGTATGCCACTTCATGCTTCATGACACCATACTGGAAGTCCTGTGTGTGTAAGTGAATATGAACAGGGAAACTGAGGCACATACCTGCATCTGACTTCGCAGTAGCTTGTGAACTCGAAATAAGTAGGTGTCGTTGCTGGCATTGTTGTAGCTCTGAATTAAGAAACTGAGTGTTGCGTTCATGTTTTGCTTGCTCATGGACTTCTCCAGGAAGCCCTCCCACCTTTGTAAATGACCCAACTTGACCATCAGGACCAGGGCAGCAAGCAGAAGCAAGGAGTTCCTCCAGCATCCAAACTTTATCTCCATAGCCTCAGATGCTTTCCAGAATGGGACGGTGCCAGGTAGCTAGCAGTTTCCTCTGCACAGCAGCCCTAGTCTACACGGGCTTTTCCAAGAGATGGCCTGCCTGCATGCATGTAAACAGAAATGTAAGCCTGAAGCAGGTCTTTCTAGGACGCCACACACACACACACACACATACACACAATGTGATGGGAGGACAGGCCAATCCAGTCTCCCTGCTGGGTTTGTTTTCCACACATTTATGATAACCATCCGGTTCTTTGCTGATCCAATTGAGCAGAAGTTCTAAACATTTGCAAAAGGGAACAAGACTCAAGTCCTGCCTTCACACTTACGTATCAGGGAAGAGACAAACCACCAAACAGACATTTAAAGTGCTAGGCACTAAGATCTAGTGTGACAAAGGGGAGCCACTGTGGGACTCAGGAAAAGCCTATGGAGAAGGTAAGATCTTAATGGAAGTATAGAGAATCAGGGAGTGGAACAGGGGTAGTACATTTCAACTTACCCACTTCATGTTCCAACTGTCTTACTAAGCCATCAACTGTTCCTTGTACTTTCTCTAGAGCAGGGGTGGGGAACTTTTTTTTTTCTGCCAGAATTTATAACATCATTCGTGGGCCATATAAAACTATCACCTTAAAAATTAGCCTGCTAAATTTGGTCAAACATTTAATTAAGTCACCCCTAAGGAGTCCTGGTGTGGCGCTGTGAGTTAATACGCCAGACTGCAAAGCCATTAGAACAGCAAGGTTGGCAGTTCAAACTCACCAGCTGCTTCTTGGAAACCCTATACAGGGTTGTTATGGGTTGTAACCGACTTGATGGCACTTAACAACAACAATGGGATGGTTGGAACTGTGGTTGCCTTGGCAGGGCCAGACTAAATTATTTCACAGGCCTTATATGATCCACGGGCTGGACATTCCCCACGCCTGCTCTTGAGACAGGTTCCTCCTACCCAACTCACCTGCTACCTCTTCACCAGATTTTTGCCTGCTGGATGCCACTGTACCTACAATGCTCTGGTGCAAGCCCTTGCTATCTTGGTGTGACTCCAGTGAAGCTTTGTGAGGTAATACTAACTGCCCTATGAGGGAAAAATAAAGTGTGATACTCAGAAGTTAATCCTGCAGACCCCTGAATCTTAGGGGCCTTCACCTTCACCCAACAAAACCATATAAACCACCTAGTTTTTAAATTCTTGCTGAGGTAGGTTTCTGGATGAATTCTTCCTCCATAAAAAAGAACAATTTTTGAGACAATTAGAAAAATATGACTAAAGTCTGTAGACTAGTGGATGTTGTCAAGGGCTGTTGAGTCTATTCCAACCCATGGTGATGCTATATAGGGTTTCTGAGGAGAAGCCAATGAGCTTGAACCACCAACCTTGTGGTTCAAACTGACTGCCTAGTCCAGTACATTAACCCACAGCACCACACCAGGACTCCGGACTAGTGAGTTTGTGTCTCCTCCATTATATTGTACTGATTCTCACAGACCAATATTTAAGTTATTTATTTTGAAATTTTTCATTTAAAAATCATTTTAGACTTTTTTAAAGTTTGCAAAATTTATACAGTATTTTCACCTACCCTTTGGCTAGCTTTCCCAAACATTAACATCTTGTGTAACCACAGCACAATGGTGAAAACTAGTTAAGTTTATATTTATATAGTAGCGTAGTGGTTACAAATTGGGCTGTAAACCTCAGGTCAGCAGTTCAAAACTACCAGCTGTTCTTCAGGAGAAAGAGGAGGCTTTCTTCTCCTGTAAAGATTTATAGACTTGGAAACCCTGGACAGGGTCGCTATGAGTCTGAACTGACTCCACGGCACGTAAAAACAACATACCCTAGTTTAAGGAGCTCTGGTAGTGCAGTGGTTACAAATTGGGCTGCTAACCTCAAGGTCGGTAGTTCAAAACTACCAGCTGTTCTGTGGGAGAAAGATGAGGTATTCTGCTCCCATAAGGATTTACAGCCTCGGAAAACCTGTGCAGGGTCACTATGAGTCGGAACCGACTCCACGGTACTAAACAACATACCCTAGTTTAAAATAATTTTTTAATTTAAATTAAGATTTTTTCAAAATAATTAGCCAAACATTGGTCTGTGAGAATCTATACAATAAAGTGGAGGAGACATACAAGCTTTAGATTACAACTGTCCGTGGTTCAAATCTCAGCTCTGCTGTTTAACATGCTGAGTGATTCTGGATGAGTTACTTAATCTTCCAACCCACTGCTATCAAACTGATTTTAACTCATAGGATTTTCAAGCTGTACATCTGTACTGGGACAGCTATCCTCACCTTTGTTTCATGAAGTGGCTGCTCATCTGTAAGAATGGAAAATATTCTGATGATTGGATTAGAAGGTAGTCAAATAACTGTCTCCTATGTCCAAAATCAGATAATCAAGAATATTCTGTGTGTCATTCTTCTGTGACTCTGAAGCTACATGCTTATACCCAGAAGCCAGACCAGACTTCATCATGAAAACCCTGCTGGGAGCTACTCTCACTCTCAGAACGTGAGTTCTGTACTGGAAAACCCTGAGCCTCCATTTGTATCAAGTGAGTTCATGAAAATGAGCCTGAACCTGGGCTGTAAGAATTTCCTTGTAAAATATATACAGGTAGTCTCCAACTTAGGACATACTCAAATTATGACAAACCTAATTTACAACTATGTGGGTTGTGTTGTTCTGTTTTGTTTTGAGTTTATTTTTGAGGGTTGGGTGTCTTAGGTTGGGTTTTCTAGAGAAGCAAAACCAGTGCAGCAGATATTGTTTTTGTTGTTGTTGTTAAGTACCGTCGAGTCAGTTCTGACCCATAGCGACCCTGTGTAGGGTTTCCGAGGAGTGACTGGTGAGCTTGAACCACTGACCCTGCAGTTCAAATTGCTTTGCAATCTGGTGCATTAACCCACAGCACCACACCAGGACACACACACACACACACACACACACACATATATATGTTGGTGGTGATGGTGTGCCAAGGAGTCCATTTTGACTCTTAGTGACCCTACATAGGGTTTCTGAGGCTCTAAGTCTTTACAGAGCAGATAGCCTCATCTTTCTCCTGTGTAGCGACTGGTAGATCCAAACTACCGACCTTGCAGTGCCCAACTCATAATATGCTGTGCTACCAGGGTTCCTTGTATATAGATAGATAGATACAGAAGTTTATTATTAAGAAAATGGCTTACAGTTAACTAGAGAAAGATTTTTTTTTAAATGGGTTTCTTTGATAAAGGAAACAAGGGTAAATTGCTACAATTTGAAGAACTTGACCTATACTCATGGATGTAGTAGCTCAAAATACCAACAGAGAGGGAAGAAGTCTTCACATCAATTATTAATCCTATCCCCTCTGTATAAAGGGTAGATAGGGAAGGCCAGCTTAGTGATTGGCTACCTAAAATGAGAGGGTGAGAAAGGCATGAAGTGACTGGCTTACAAGCTTTCAAGAGGGAGTTTAGTTTAAGAGTATGTGAGGGAAGACAGAGTCCCCACTGAATAGTTTTCATCTTGTCTAGATGGGTCTGGTAAAAGGAGATGGGAATAAGATTCTTATGATTCAAGAGTGAGTAATTGTTATCATGACTAATTGAGACTGTTATAACTGTAAAGGTAGAAGTTTTGTAACAAAAATGGGGGAGTAGTTAATCTTACAGTCCAGAAACAGAGAACCCTACAACCATCAAAGGCCAAGAGCACAAGTGGAATGTGAGACCTTATCCAGAGAAGCAGTGACACCAGAGATGGAAGCAGAGATGGGGACATGGAGAGAGGGAGCACCTGAGGACTCTAGATTAATGGAAAGAGAGGGACTGAGAGCTGGCGGCCAGGAAGCAGGCTTGCAGAATATGCCCTTTGG